AACATATATTGTTATATGAATTACATTTTCATAAAACTATTTCAACGATTTTTTCCTTGCATCATATATATATAGCATACATAATAAATAAATAAATAAATATATATATAGCATACATAGCAGCATTCATTATAAATAGAAATATTTTCTCTTCACTATCATAGTAATAAATAGTATAAATAGTAGTAATCGAGTAATAAAATATATATAGAAAAATTAAAAATTAATCGAATTATTAATGAATATTCTGATAGTATGAATACTTAGATTTTACATTTAATCAAATTTTACATCTAGTCAAAATAGGATCTATCAAATAAATTCTATCAAAATTGGCTTAAAAATCATTAATTAACAATTTTAACTACGATGATAATTAATTATAATTAAATCGATCTACAATTCCAATTAATCGGATTTCAACCAATGATATTAATCATTCAAAGCAATTTCAAAACCGAATAACACAATTACATATTCAAGAACCGATGAGATTGTATCACTATATTAAATATTATATACAAATTAAGATGACATAAGACATACATGGATGGTTATGTTGGTGGTCGACAAATATATATATTGATACACATTGGAACGATATACTGGTTTAGCAACATCTAGTAACACATTATAAAAAACAGTGTAGCATTGCTCTACTTGTTATGATGTCCTTTGTCTGAAATCAATTTCATTTCCAAGTCAGAACGATAATAGAAGGATACTATGTGAAATATTGCGATTTTTATTAAATGGTTTTATAATATACTTATAATATACTTATAAGAATTAATAATTTTGTGTTGTTCCTTTATATATATATATATATATTAATATTTCTTTTTATTAGTATTATATTTTAGAAGAATAATTAGATGAATTTATGCAATGATACCATTATAACATAAATATAAATATATAATTATATAAAAATAAATAATATTAAATATATAAATTATATAAGTAATATAATATAATATAAATAAAATTATAATAAATAAGTAAATAAATAAAATTATAAAAAATAATATGATATAAATAAAAGTAGATAATTAAAAATAGAAAAATAAATAGACGTCTTTTTTTTTTTAAATCAAATTATACCAATTAATAGAATAAATAAAACGACATTTATATATGATACATTTGACAAATTTATAATAATAATATTCAATTAAAAAATTATATTTTTGTTATAAATAAAGATATAAAAAATTTTAACAGTAATTCATTTATTTCCTACTTCACAAATTAATTGAACTAATTAGTAAGGAGGTAATAGATGGATTTTTACAAAAAAAAAACAATTTACACATATTTTTTTTCGACAT